TTTTTTTTTTTTTTTTGATTTGACAAACAAAAATCTTCACTCAACGGCTACTTACTAGGGACAAAATATCAAGTTCCGTCTACAAGATTTTTCCAGAACTTTCAACCACATCTCATGGTCTTCATCTGCAGGTGGAATTTGCTCAGTTGTCAGTGAGTATCAACCCCCCAGGTATGTAACTGAGGTCAGGGGGATGGCAACCAAACAAACCATCTGCTGATGAAGGCTTTGGGATGCGGTTGAAAGCTCTGGAGAAAGCTGGCCCTTGAGTTATTTCTTTTTCGTTCCCTTTTTCCTGCTCAAACTTTGAACTAATAAACGTTCACTCTCTTTCTTCTCTATAAGCGTTCATACAAACACAAACCATAGTAACGAGGTCTTAAAAAAAAGACACAAAACCCTTTGGTTAGTATCAGGGCAGAGAACCAACAGGATCCATAGCCCTGAGGCACAGTGCCTTAGGACCAACAGCTGATCAGCTGGCTATGAGGAATAGGGCTGTGGTCGCAGCAGGCTGTAGACAGAACTGGATGAAGCATCTGTGAGGTCATCCCCATGTTTCTAAACACAGACAGGGCTTCACAGTGCTGGACTTCTTGGGGAACTCCAGAAAGTAAGACGCCCTCCTTGAACCCTCACTATTTGGTTACTTAAGTAGTTGGCCAAGTATAAAATGGAAAAACGGCCAAGAAACACAACAATGATTCTGCAAAGCTCTGAGTTACATTTTTCATCCTGTCAAGGTTTCCACAGACAGGATTTAACTCTGGCTGCAATGGGATTCTATCTCTACGTATCGTCCAAATAAAACGTTATCTTTTAAATAGCCCCATACGGTGCAATGAAATACCTCTTATAATGTTGCATTTTGAACAGATGTATCCTAAAGGTGCTACTGCAGTTTATGCTCAATACATTGTAATTCGAGTGTTTGGAGCGGGTGTTTGTACTGTCAGTGTTGTAACCAGCTTCAAACACAGTAGCTGTAACTTTTCCTGCCATTGAAACTAGGTTGTACTTATAGGTTAGGGCATCACAAAATAGAACACACATTTTAGCTAAATAGATGGTCAATAAGATCATTTCCATCAAGTGAAGTGAATGGGTAGAAAATCAGGAGTCTTATAGTTTGAGTGTCTACTTTGTAAAAACTGTAAAAATACAAAATATGTAAGCAAACTTCAAAAAGAAATTGAATGAAATACATTTAACACTTTATACTTTTTGTACCTTGTGACAACAAAAATAAGTACATAGTACAAATAATGTACAACATAAGTATCAATTTCAGAGAAAAGCAGAAATTTTAAATCCTCTTCTGCAGAGAAAGATCCTCACTTTGGATATTATTCTAACGGACAACATCACCAGTCTCTTCACACAAGTTGTAGAAACCAGTAAAAACACTGCAGTCAGTTTGTTTTTAAGCAGCTGCCACAAAGTAGACTGAAAAGACCCCAATACAGTCATGATGTTTCTGTCAGCGGGGTACTGTGGATGATTCTAGTATTGATTATTAGTATTATTATTATTAGTTTCTCACATATGTTGAAAGCAGAATACAGCATATATTAAGGCAGGGGTCCCCATTCCTTTCCATGTCAAGAAGAACCTTAAAGACTTGGACTGACAACCTCCTGTTTTAGGATTTTAATGTTAACTTATAAACATGACTTATATAGCAGTTATGTAATGGTAAATTCCATGCACTAGCACTACATGTGTCTGAATTAAAGAAAGAAAGGAAAAAGGTCATGAATATCCTCCAGATGCTCCGGTTTCCTCTCTCAGTCCAAAGACCTGCAGGTCAGATCAGCTGGAGGCTCTCCTGGAAATCCAGCCACATTCTTAAGCAGCAACAAAGAAAAGCTGCTCTGTGTATCACTGCCTTTTCTTGTCAGAGGGACTGCATGGAACCCACGGCTGTGAATACGCCTGTATTGTAGACTTTTACTTGTGGTAGAGAGGTAAAGTCGCCAGTTCAAGTCTCCAGACTGTACAGAAATATCAGTGCTGGGGAGGGGAGTGGGCTCTCAGGCTGAACACTCAGCCCCCAAAAGCAGCCCGAAATAGAAAGTGTGGTTGTGCTGGACAGCTCCTAAAAGCATTCTGGTCCAATAGAGTGTGTATGCTCAGCAAACTTTGCTTAGGCAAATAAGCACCTCAGCATTCCCACATTTTTACTTTCAACATTTGTAGGCAGTAGATTATTTTTGATCACTGCAGCGTTCTGCTTCACAGCCCACAGACTCTTGGAGTCACATCTACCTCTTAACAGTTTAACCAAACACCCAAGCTCAGATGTTCTCTGTTAACAGCACTCCACACAATAGATATACAGCAGAAACCTTTGTAGGCTGTAACTCAACCTCTGTGTAACCTTACCCAGTGTCAGGCCATCATTTTAAACTGCCCTTATCAGCTTATCTCACTTGTTACGAGACCTGCTCTCTCCCTGCTGACATGCTCAGCCTCGGGGGAATCGCCTTATCTTTAACCTGCTTTCATTCGGCTGCAGTATCACACTCAGCTGGACCCAGTTTTCAGATGACATTTTCACACTGTTGCGTCACCGGTGGACCTATCATTCCTTTCCATGTAATTCTTCCAAAGCATATTTGCACAGGGTATTGTGAATAGGTAAGCGGCCAGACGGGCACTGTACAGTTCAGTTTGTTGTAGTTCAGATTCCACAGAGGGATCACTGACGTTGCATTCTTACTGGCAGAAATTCTTTTTTTCCATTTGGATCAGCATGTTTTGAGCAATTGTATGCCATTAATCTGATGATGAATGCACAGGTTGAAGTCTTTTTTTTTTTTTTTTAGTAATATCTCTGCAGTGGTAGCAACATGGCTCTAGGGATGCCAGTGTCAGTCCACCACTCCGGTCCAGACTGAAATATCTGACTATAAGATGGACAGCCATTACATTTTGTTGGCCAATAATGGTCATGGTCGCCACCATGAGGTTGATGTTTGTAATTCATTGTGAAATATCTCAACAACTATTAACTGGGTTGCTATAACATTTTAAAGGGCCTTCAGAATAAAACATACTGGATTTTGGTGATCCTCTGACTCTTTGTGTAGTGCCTCCAGCAGGTTACATTTTTGAGGTATTCAGTGAAATAATATGAAAAATCTACGAGATGGACTGGCACACATTTTGTAGAGACATTCACAGTGATACAGTTGATCATTCTGGAGAAATGTACTACAGATATTCCAGGTCCCCAGAGGAGGTTTGATGACTGTGGTGATCCTGTGTGGTGTCATTTAGCGCCATCAGATCCAAATTTCAGTTTCAAATAGAAAAATTCCCATCAGCCTCGGCTGTACTTTGTGCTAATAAGCACGCTAACAGGCTTACCTGAGTGGGCAAACAAGTTAGGCTAAACATTGTACCTGCTAACCTACATGTTAGCATTTTCATTGTGAGCAAGTTAGCATGCTGATGTTAGCATTTAGTTCAAAGTACAGCCTCACAGAGCTGCTAGCATAGCTGTGGACTTATAGTGTTGTTGAAATGTTCTCAGGGAACAGTTGCTCCTTCCACTAAATCACACATATTAAAAGGCGCTTTTAATCACCTTTAAGTCTTCAAGTTTTACAAATGTTTATGTCTAGATGCTGTATGATCGATTTGTAAAGGCAGTACAGTGAACATTTGAATAAAATGCAAACAGCAAACAGAAATGAGACTGATCGGTTCAGTCTGATCTCTGGTTTGACATTTACTTAAGATTGCACATGTGCTTGATGGTTTGTGGATATTGCAGGAACACCATTTGAAGCCATCTGCAAAAGGTTTTAAATACATTTGTTCAGTAGTTATTTTCTGCATCTGCTGCCTGCTAATTGGTTTTAAATGGTTTATAGGACACCCTTCTGTGCACATCTGTTGAGTGTTTTAAAAGTGTTTGCAGGATTTTATCTCTGTTTGTAATGTGGAGGCGGGCAACTCCAAAAAATACTTCAAGATGTGCTCTCGTCCTCTGTCCCAAGTCCACACTACATATTGATTCAGTAAGTGTGTCTACACTGAAAAAGTGACAAC